CTCACAGGCGGCGAGCGGGCTCCCGCCGCGCCACTCGCCGGTGCCCAGCAAGCCCTTCCCCACCCCAACGTAGCGCAGGGACTTGTAAAATAATAATTTATTTTTTTGGAAAATGTACAGGTTTGACCAGCAGTTCGGATCTGTGTATTATACAGTGAGGCAGGCTACAGTTTGGAGCGCAACAGACACAGCCTGGAATAAGGATTTAGGTCTTACAGAGGAAACAGCAACACCAGAAATAAAGGAAAGAATAAGTTTTATTTTTCTTGTGTTTTGTTTGGTTTTTTTTTAAGTGAATGGGGTCTTGTTTATGCTTTAAGTAGTACTGAGCAGAAAAATCCAAATGACAGATTTTTCCAAGTGGTAAAAAGACACAGGAACAGCCTATTTTAATGTGATATAAAATACTACAGTCCCATTTTTTCCACTTCCAGATTCTTGACGTTAGCGATCAAAGGCTCTGTCAAAACTTCGTTTCTGGCCTCTGCTTCGGAATCTGTTTCTACCAGAGCCACCACGCCGCCCACTCCTGGAGCTTGAGAAGCTTCGGCCATTTCCTCCACCTCCTCCTCGCAGTGATTCAACTAACTCAGGTAACTCAGTCGCCACGCACAAACGCCACTGTTTTGAATCTTCCCATTTTGACTATTGAAATAAAGTCAGACATAGCAAGTTAAACTCTAGGAACGCAAAGACAGGGTATTTCATCCTTCCTAAATCTGCTCAACTGAATAAGCAAGGTTGTGAGCTAATACAGAAGATTCAAGCTTCTAACTAAAGTGGTCAATACTGGTTTCAAAATTTTCAGCATAAGAGCTACAGCTGACTGAGTGCACCTCAGATACTACAGAACAGAATGGAAAGCCACCAGAGAGCTCTACAGAGCAGCCTCATCAGTAAATTTTCTCACCTTTCATGTATTAAAAATACCACTATAATTGTTACTGATCACAAATCCACACCCTCTCTTCAACGCCCCTCTAATCCAGAGCCAAACATTGTTTCAGGAGTAGATGAATGCCAGGGCATGAGGGTATGGAGACGGGCCAAGGGAGAAACAGCTGAAGGAAAGATTGGAAGTCAAGGGAATTTTGGCATGCGAATACCAATTCTGTGAAGCAAAAACCTGGAATTCACTTTTCTGTGGAGAGAATTCTGGGTGAAAAGAATAGGGGTGGGGAATGGAAAAAAGGGGATTTTATAGTGTAACGAAACTTGTTGCCTACAAAGATTAATCCAGCAGCAGTAACATGGGGTGGATTGTTCACACCACCACTCTCCTCAGCGCAGAAGTCTCACGCTCCAGATTTCTAGAGACAGGGGAGGACTTTCGGAAAGGAACACTGTATGCTTGTTCTGTTCTTCAGTTCCTTCAAAGCCATCCCTTTTGCCACTAGGAAAGGCAGGATACAGGCTACGTATCGTTTCCTGCCTAACCCAGTCCAGCCAGTTTCATTTAGTCTGCTGTAACCAGAAAATTCAATGAACGTACCTCTGTTTCCTTTTGGTATGCTGCAGGAATATCAAAGCACACACCCTGAAAAGAAAGAGTAACTCTAATGGATACAAGTCGAACCTTTCAATTGACTGCAACTAAAATAAAAAAAAAAAAGAGCCTACAAATCTATGTACAGTTTTACATTTCATAGTGTTTTTTTAACAGATTTAAGATACTTCAAAGTCTTTGAACATTGAGAGAGTTGCATCAGTATTTCTGAAAACACCAATACCTGCACTTCCGTAATGTTTTCCTCAGATATAACCATTTCTTCCTTCCCCTGCATAGCTAGTACTTCCAATTCACATTTTCTTGCTCTTTAACAATAAGCTTATCAACCCTCCCCACCCTAAACTGTGCTCTATTGGTTTCTGCATTACTCATTTTGTAAATTCTTTCAAATCAGAAGTTTTAATCTATATTAAGAAATGTATACAACCAGTAAACTGAATATTTAGGTTCAGACTAAAAATCTGAAGTTAAACTACTTGAACGATTACATACAATACATGATTCACTCATAAAATGCTATTCTTTGTCTGAACAAGCAATCTGGATACAGAGAATTACAAATCTGATGTAGGAAAAAACATCCATAGATAGCGTTCTACACATCAAATACAGAACAATGTTGTGAATAAAGAGACAAAAGCAAGGACAATAAAACAAATCTTACCAATTAATGCAGTATCAACTATCATGCGTGAAGTACGCATTAAGAAAAAATGTCAGAGATGGAAACAGTAAAAATAATTCACTGACATAAAGAAGTGTCCTCAAGTCAAATTTAAAATCAGAAATGTCTGGCCAAGAAACCTTGCAAATTGCATGTGAAATTCACACAGCAAGACACACAGGTTAACTTTTACACAAAGACAGAATGTAGAAGAGAACACACACAGCACCTTAGACAAGAATTTTTCTTATTAAAAAAGTTTTTAAACTTGTTCAGGTATAGGCTGTCCCTTGTTTTAGGCTTTCCAGTTTACCACTTCTGGGTATCCTCAGTATTGGCATACAGATGTGCTGTGATTTCGATGATTTGCTAAACTAGGTGCCATCAACACCTGCCATTTTGACCTCTCTCTCCTTTCGGTACTTCCAAAAGGCACCCGTTCCACCCGCACTCATACCAATCTTAATGCTTCTATTACAAATTCTACATAAAAGCTCATTCAACATCTGCCTCTGAAGAGTTCTCTCAACTCATCCTCAAACAGTTCTGGGGTCTTTTTAGTTTGTGGATTGTTCTCCACATCCCACACCACCTTAAACCACACAAAAACAGGGAAACACAAACTGAATCATTCTCTGTAACAACACTTGGTATGTGGTGTCTGTGATGGAAACTTCAACATGGATCTGACTGAAGTATGCATGGAAATGCAGGTGTGTGAAAGCACTGGAAAAACAACAGCAGACAAAGGGATAAGAGAATGGCATGTGTTGACAGCATGCAAATTAAGTCATTAAGTTCACAGCATCTCTGTTCTGTTTGATTGATCTGGGTATGTTGAGAAACGAAACACACCCAGGAAAACACAAAGATGGAGCAAATCAGCAATAATGCCTAAAACATCACAAAAGCAGGACACAAGCATTCCTTGTCCTATGTGTCACCACAAATAATCCTGGACAGACTATTTGATCGCATATTTTCACGTTTGTGAAAATGCATGTGAATTCTGAGACAAGAGTAGTGAGGGGAACCAGTTTTGTTCAACGTAACTGTGGCTCAGCAAGCATTGAGACAGTTGTTGCAATGCTGTTCAGTACGCAAACTAAAAAGTAACTTTCTGATGTTTCAGTTTCAAGTACCAGAAACACGACAGGCACTGTCAGAACCCACCCTCCTAAGAAATCCTGTTCTATGTTTTGTCATTCAGGCGCGGTTAAGCACATTTCGCACCTTTTACCCGTTCTGCTGTCCCTGCAGCCACGCTATATACTGCGTCACGCTACCTCCTTAGCATGCCAGCAGAGCAGAGCCCTAAGCCTCTGAGATATCCAAGCCCTAATGCCACAGATTGAGGCCCATCCATCTACCAGAGTCATGTCCTTACCAACAGTCTGGAACAGGGGAAAAAAAGACCAAATATCTCCCCTGACAACCACCGAGAAAAGGCTACAACCAGAAGAGCTCAGCAGCAAAGATACAAAAAAAGCTTACCATTTTTCCCTTGAGGAAACACATTCTGTTCACCTTCCTGTCAACATCATCACCCAACAGCTCTCGTAGTCTTCGCCAAGCATAGCTCATATTGTTTATTTCTTCAGAGCAGCGTAGTATCATTGTAACGAAACCCTAAAGAGTAAAAAGTGGGGCATGCTCCATTCTGTCAGAGGAATAAGCTTCAGCACATTTATCAGACACGAGAAACCTGCTAATTTACAGTTTATAAACTAAGTTTTCAAGTGGATACTCTTACAGAAGAGCAAGTATATTTGTAGCCACTATATTATTGCTTT